CGACACAACAGCAAAATGCTAACCTAGGAGAGAATCTGTTAACAAAACAGATTAGGATCAACCATGAAATTGACCAACCTAGACAAGCCCCTCTCCAAGTTACTCAATTATGAAACCCTGACCTGCAGCATTATCCAGACTGGGGACATTCTGTCTTTTCCTTGCAACTGTTCAGACATGAAATCGACTGAGATTCGCAATCAAAGTGACATAGGGTTTGGGCCAAAATGATGGGTGATTTCAGGCACTTCAGTTCTTGATGTCCCCGATTTTCATATGACGGACAGTCATTCTTCTAAAAGAAATGTTGAAAAAAGTTGGAAAGGGTACAGAGAAGAGTTACAAAAACGATCAGAGGACTGGAAAATATGCCTTATATTGAGAAATTTAAAGACCTCAGTCTGTTCAACTTATCAAAAAAATCAAGAGATGACATGATTACAGTGGACAAGTACCTTCAAGGGGAGAAAATACTGGCTACTAAAACACCCATTTAGAGGACTAATCTTATTCTATTCCTACCCTCACAAGGAGGCTAAATATATGAAAAGTTGTGAAGTGGTCAAGTGCTGTGGGAATAAGGCCATAAACATGAAATATGTGAAATAGATTGTAAAGTCATTGTGATGTTAACACAATCTAGGTCTGTCACTAGGGGCCAAAAATCAAGATTTTTTCAAAATATTTTGCTTCAAGCTGCTAACCTCATACTACCTCAACTTTTTTTGTTAATGTTTTAATTTTGGAGCAAAAAAAGGAAAGGAAATATTGATGGGTGGAGTCAATTGCACCCGGTATTCTCCCAGCATTACACTATCTAAAGCATTCATTGCTTCAAAATCTGAATACAGGAAAGAGCAATAGTCCTAACAGGGTTCATAATCCAGTGCCCTACGACCTGTTTGAAAAGAGCTGCGGCTTTAGACAACCTTTCATTTCTAACCCTGTTGGACTTCCTGGTGGTCATCTTTTGGCAAATTTACTGTCGAGATGGGTCAAAAAGGAGTAAACGCCGTTTCACGTCACGTCCAAGCTGAGGAGTTTGGGGCTATGAACCAAGGTTGGGCTTGTAATTAAAACACTGGACTGGGGGACAGAGCACTGGAGACCTGGGTTCTATTCCTGGATCTGGGGCTGACGGGCTGGGTGAGCTTAGGCAAGTCACTTGCCCTATCTGGGCCTCAGTTTCCCCATCTTTAAAATAGGGATGATGCTGACACCTCTTCTGTAAAGCGCTTTGACCGATGAAAAGCCTGATATATTAAAACATTAATACTAGTCAGACTCAGCTCCCCATGTGTAAAACAGGGAAAATATCACTCCCCTATCTAGTTTATTGAGACTGTAAGCTCTTCAGGACAAAAATTGTCTTGATGTGTACGTAGGGTGCCTAGCAAAATGGGGTCCCAATCTCGGTTTAATAACCCTGATTAAATCATATTATGCCATGCCTGCAATCTCAGTGGAACGATATCAGACAAGGATAACCACCATGGCTTTGGGAAGAGCGACCGGACAGGTCATTACAGCCATAGCAGCACGAATGAGAGCATCAGGGGAACACACATGACGGCACTGGGACTCCGTGCCAGCTGTCACCATGACAGTCTCATGGCAAGAGACTGGCTCAGGAGCAAATGGGGAAAACTTTAGCCGGTGGAACCCACTGCCACATGATATTGCTGAACCCAAGAGTTACCGAAAAAAGGATTGGACATTTATACAGACAACATGCACATCCATAAGAACAGCAGCAAAGATGCAGGGTTTGTAAGACAACCTCTACTGGTGGTTATCTGGGGGCAAGTTATTCTAAGGTGGCAGGGTTTCTTCCACCTGCCTCTAAAAGCAGCTGATACTAGTCACTGTCAGAGACTGGAGATTGGGCTAGATATCAGCTGTGCTAGGCATACACATAATAAGAGACAGTGCGTGCTCTGAACAGACAAGACAAAGGAAGAAATAGCCCCATTTTACAGATGCCCAGAGATTAAAGTGATACGCTCAAGATCTTGCAGAAAGCGTGTGGCACAGGCAGGAACTGAAACTGGCTCTCCAGAGTCCCAGCTTTTGCCACAAGACCATCTTCACCAGCTAAATGATAAAGCACTTCAATGAGGAGACCAGATTTTCAGACGGCACGAGAGGTTCTCCTGTCGCTGCTCTGCCATGGAGGTGCCATAAGTGCAAAATTGTAGGGTTAGGCCTGCCTGGCTAATTGAGCAATCTGACTCAACAACCCTAAGTGCTCTGTAACGAAAGTCGTATCATCTGCGTAATTAAACACACCACCGAGAAGAGATTGCAGGAGACAAGACTGTCCACAAATACTACCTGGATCCATAGCCTGTTAGCAGGCAGCATGAATGCGGAACAGGAGAAGCCGGTCATAAACTTAAATAATTCCTGTGGTCCGCTAAGGCATGGGAAGCCAAAAGCATGTAAGAATTTGCGTCATATGGGCGTTCAGTGCCACAAAGGATGTTGAAATCAATCCTCATGCTTTGCACCCTACAATCGGTGTATGTTTGCAAAGGGGCTCTGAACCTGGGTGCTGCTGCAAGAGAAAGGAACCGGGAAATCAGGGTTAGAGACCCGCTGCGCGACCACAGGCAAGTCAACAAATCTGAGCCTCAGTTTCCCCATCTGGGAGATGGGAATCACAATCCTTCCTGTCTTGTCGGTTTCAGTTGTGACCAGGGACTCTTTATGTTTGGTCAGGTGACTTTGGGTCCCGGTACAAGACACATCCACCTGCCTGTGGCACTCTGGCAGCCAGGAATTACTGGCTGCAATGAACAGCTGGTTGATTCAGGCAGGGTTTCAGGCCTCTCACTTTCCCTGAGACACAATAAAGGCCGGCTACAACCCGACTGCTCAGTGGTCGATTTTTAACCCTGCCACACTGTTGGAAGGGAGCTCTGACCCCTGTGATGTCTGGGTTTAGGAGGCAGGGCTGGGCTTTTGAGACACATCTGAGAAGGAGCAAAGAGGCGTTGTCTTGGGGAAAATGAAATGATCTGGGAAGGAATTGTCAGTGGTTCTAGAAGGGAGGCAGCATGGAAAAGGGGAAGGGAAAGTGGAGAGGGAAGAGAAGAGCCAGTGCAAAAGCAAAACTTCTAGGGGTGCAAAGGGAAAGGAGGAAAGAATGGGGGGGGGTTATGGGAAGCTCATGTGGAGCTTAGAGATAAGGGGGAAGGTAGGTAGGTAGGCACAGTGCACCACAGGCTAAATTGGGATTCCCCACCCCCACAGTGACACTGCATTCTCAGACCCCCACTGGTGCCCTTTTCCAGGTTTTGATCGCCCCACTCACAGTCAGGGCCCCCGAAAAGGATTGGGGAAGCAGGGTCGCTATCCTAAGAATGCCTACCCAGCTCAGTGACCCTCCACCCCTATATTAGGGGGGCCTCCAATCCCCAGTGACCCGGCAACAGCCCGCAGGAGATCCTTAGGAGAGGAAATCCTCATTGCTAATGAAAGGGGGCTTCCATCCCCCCCCCCCCCCCCACAGGTCCCGACAGATTTCTGCAGAGTCCCAGATTCTTCAGTCACGCCCAAGGGGCCACCAAACACCCTAACATGTCCCCCCCTAAGCCTCATGTCCTCCCGTGAGCTTGCACATTACCCCCTTACCCCCACATCTTACCCCAAGCCCCTTGGCCCCCAGTTAGCACTCTCTAGTTCACCCCCTGGCTCAAAACATTCCTGGTTCCCTTACTTCCTCCTAAATAACCCCCAAACCTCCCCCACCACATAGCCCCGCTCCCCAGTTACTTCCCCATAATCCCCATCATACCCCAAATGACCTCCCCTCCCTCCATAGCACCATGTTCCCACAGACCCCCCCCATAAGCCTCCCACATCATACCCCCATCATAAACCCACAGCCACGTAACCTCCCCTCCCTCATCCCATTATATGCTACCCTCCACACCCTACTATTACCTCCTCTAACCCCACCTGACCCCCCTCTGCCTCACCCCCACTATTGCCACCCTCTGACCCGCCCTCAGGCCATCATCCACCTTCCCCCACCCTGTCATACCCCCTCCCCACACACCCCACTATTACCTCCCCTAAACCCCGTCCCCCTCATCACCTCCACTCCCCCCTCCAGACCCCCTCCCTCTCATCCACCTTCCCCCATGCACCTGTATGATCTCCCTGATCCCCCCTCACCCACCCTATCATCTCTCCTCCCCTCGGCCCCCCCCGTGGGACCTGCCCGCTCCCCCCATCATACCTCTCCCTCCAACCCCCTCCCCCACTCTACACGCCGCCCCCCCCCCGTGGGACCTCCCCACTCCTCTCTCCCCATCCTCACATCCTGTCCCCCTTCCCGATCATGCCTCTCCCCCTCCCCTCCCCCCGCAATGGGACCTCCACTGCCCCCCACATCATACCCCCGCCCCCACTCCCCACCCTGGGACCTCCCTGCTACTCTCCCCACATCCTCACACCTCCCCCCAGCCCCCTCCTCTAGCCCCCCAGTGGGACCTCCACTGCCCCCCCATCATACCCCTGCCCCCCAAACCCACCCCCACTCTAAAACCCCCCACCGGGGGACCTCCCCCCCCTCACATCCTGTCCCCCCTCCCCGATCATGCCTCTCCCCCCACCCCCCCTCCCTATCCCCACGTGGGACCTCCACTGCCCCCCCCCATCATACCCTCCCTTTCCACTGGGGGGACCTCCCCACTCCAATGAGACCTCCCCTCCCCCACCCCATCATACTCCTGCCCCCAAACCCCTCCCCCAGCGCTATACCCCCTCCCCCAGGGGACCTCCCCCCCCTCCCCATCACGTTTCTGCCCCTCCCCAGAGGGACCTCCACTGCCCCCCCCATCACACCCCTCCCCCCACTCTACATCCCCCCCCACCGACCTCCCCACTCCTCTCCCCCCACCCCCATCACGCTTCTCCCCCCCCCCTCCCCCCCCCGGGACCTTCCCAGCTCCCCTCCCCCCCCGCCCGCGTGCCGGCCCCGCCCCCCTCACCTTGTAGAAGGCCCCGTTGGAGCCCCGCACCTCCACGGGCAGCCCCTCCATGGGCCCGGCCGCCGCCGCCGCCCCCCGGGGAGGGGCCCGGGCCCCGCCGCGGGCCGGAGCCTCCCGGCCGCCGAGCCGCCGCCGCCGCCGCCGCCGGGCCCGGCCTGAGGGGAGCCCCGCAGCGGGGGGGGGATGGGAGGCGCCCCGGGCCGCTCCGGCTCCGCCACCGTGAGGCAGGGACCGACCCGACCTGCCGCCGCCGCCTCCTCACGCCGCCGCCGCCGCCGCCTCACACCGCGAGCGCGAGCGGCCGCCCCCCCCCGGCCCCGCAGACGCGCGCGCACGCACGCACCGCCCGCGCGCAGGCGCAGGGAGGGGAGGGGCGCGCGCGCGCCTCGCCCCCGAGCCGCGGGAGCCCGCCCCGGGGCCGCGGGCCAATGGCAGGACGGGGGCCCAGCGGCGGGCGGCCAATGGGAGGCGGCGGAATGGGTGGGCGCCGTCGAGGCCGCCGTTGCGCCCCGCGCGAGCGCGCGCGCGCCCCGGCGGCCAATCAGGAGGCGGCAGTGGGAGCCCCGGGTGGTTGGTGGAGGGGGGGGGGAGCCAATGGCGGCGGCGGGATTAATACGCAGGCGCCGGCCCCTCCTAGTCTCAGCGACGCCCCGATGAGCCCTGCCCCGCCCCTTCGCCATTCCAACCAATCACGAGGCCGCCTTCTACCTCCGTTGACCAATCAGGAGGCGCCTCTCTCTTCCAGCCAACATTTGCGGCGCCCCCTTGCCTCTCCCCCTCCGACACCGAGAGCGGGAAACGCCCGACGCCAAGGCCACGCCCATAACTGCCAATCACACAACGAGGCCCGCCCCCGCCGTTCTCAGCCGCTCTTCTGATTGGCTGACCCAGGATGTCAATCCACCATAACAGTTTCCACACAGTCCCCTCCCCCCAGGCACCCTAAGGTCACAGGTTCGAATCTCCCCACCCCAGCACCAGTGGCATTATGGGATACGGGGAAAAAGGGGCCCGAGCCCCTTCCCCGTATCCCATAACCCCCTGGGCCCCAAGCGCCCCCGTATCCCACAATGCCCTGGGCCTGAGCACCCCCCATCCCAAAATCCCCCCGAGCACTCCCTCCAAGGGCTATGCTCCCACCGGGGGGCGCTCTGGGGCGGGGCGGGGGGGTCTCTACGCTCCCACGGGGGGCGCTCTAGGGGTGGGGCGGGGGGGTGTCTACGCTCCCATGGGGGGTGCTCTAGGGGCAGGGCGGGGAGGTCTCTATGCTTCCACGGGGGGCGCTCTGGGGCGGGGCGGGGGGTCTCCGCTCCCACGGGGGGCGCTCTGGGGCGGGGCGGGGGGGTCTCCGCTCCCACGGGGGGCGCTCTAGGGGCGGGGGGGGTCTCTACGCTCCCAAAGGGGGGCGCTCTAGGGGTGCGGGGCGGGGGGGTCTCTACGCTCCCACGGGGGGCGCTCTGGGGCGGGGCGGGGGGGTCTCTCGCTCCCACGGGGGGCGCTCTGGGGCGGGGGTCACGGGGGGCGCTAGGGGCGGGGGGGTCTCTACGCTCCCAAAGGGGGCGCTCTAGGGTGCGGAGCGGGGGGGGTCTCTACGCTCCCACGGGGGCGCTCTGGGGGCGGGGCGGGGGGGTCTCTACGCTCCCATGGGGGGCGCTGTAGGGGCGGGGGCGGGGGTCCCCCCAGGGGGGCGCCTAGGGGGCGGGGCGGGGGGGGTCTCTACGCTCCCACGGGGGGCGCTCTAGGGGGGCGGGGCGGGGAGGGTCTCTACGCTCCCACGGGGGGCACTCTGGGGCGGGGTGGGGCGGGGGGTCTCTACGCTCCCACGGGGGGCGCTCTAGGGGGGCGGGGCGGGGCGGGGGGGTCTCTACGGTTCCATTGGGTGCCCCCGCCCCCCCGCCGGGATGGATGCCGAACGGGGGAACAGCGTGGAAACGGGAGCGGAGTGCCCCCTACAGGGTCACAAGTGCAGCCGGCCGGGAAAGGGGGCTGGCCCCCGGGAAAGGGTTGGCAGAAACAAACCAGCAAAGGGGGGGAGGGTCTCAATCTTCGGGGCGGGGGAGGGGGCGGAATTTGGGTTTCCGGCAGATGTTCAAATAAGGAGAAATCTACCCGTCCCCACGGAGGGACATCTGTCCCCGTGCACGTCTGTCTGTCCCCACTGAACATCTGTCTCTCCCCATGCACGGCATTCAGCCCGTCCAGCCCCCTACACGCCCCTCTGTCCGTCTGTCCGTCCATCCTCCTACACGCCCCTCTGTCTGTCCATCCATCCATCCATCCCCATACACGACCCTCTGTCCGCCTGTCCGTCCAGCCCCCTACACGCCCCTCCGTGTGTCCATCCATCCATCCCCATACACGCCCCTCAGTCTGTCTGCCCGTCCATCCCCCTACACACCCATCCGTCTGTCCGTCCATCCCTGTACACACCCCTCCGTCTGTCCATCCATCCATCCCCCTACACGCCCCTCTGTCTGTCCATCCATCCCCATACACACCCCTCTGTCTGTCCGTCCATCCCCATACACACCCCTCTGTCTGTCCGTCCATCCCCTACACACCCGTCTGTCCGTCCATCCATCCATCCCCTTACACGCCCCTCCGTCTGTCCATCCATCCCGCTACACACCCCTCCGTCTGTCCATCCATCCCACTACACACCCCTCTGTCTGTCCATCCATCCCCATACACACCCCTCCGTCTGTCTGTCCGTCCACCCCCCTACACACCCGTCTGTCCATCCATCCATCCCCATACACACCCCTCCCTGTCCTCCTCCCCCACCCCCCCCTCTGTCTGTCCATCCATCCCCATACACACCCCTCCGTCTGTCTGTCCGTCCACCCCCCTACACACCCGTCTGTCCATCCATCCATCCCCATACACACCCCTCTGTCCGTCTGTCCATCCATCCCCCTACACACCCCTCTGTCTGTCCATCCATCCCCGTACACACCCCTCCGTCTGTCCACCCATCCATCCCCCTACACACCCGTCTGTCTGTCCATCCATCCATCCCCGTACACGCCCCTCTGTGCGTCTGTCCGTCCATCCCCCTACACGCCCCTCCGAGGCCTCTGGGGCAGGAGGATGGTGAAGAAGCAGACACAGGACCAGGGGTGCTGGGGGCCCGGCGGGGGCAGTGGGGCAGGGTTGGGGGGCGGAGCAGGGCAGCGAGGGGCATCGCCGGCCGGCCAGAGGGAGGTCGCGTGGATCTGAGCCGGGCCGAGGTGGGGCCAGGGTCCCGTTAGCGGGGTCACGACACCGGCTCCCGGGCCCTGCAGACACCCCTCCCCAGTGGTCCTCGGGGGCAGGGACCAGGCCCTGTGTGTGTGTGTACCGGGCAAGCGTGTGTGTGTGTACAGAGCTCTCTGTGTGTGTACCGGGCAAGCGTGTGTGTGTGTACAGAGCTCTCTGTGCGTGTACCGGGCAAGTGTGTGTGTGTGTGTGTACAGAGCTCTGTGTGTGTGTACCAGGCAAGTGTGTGTGTGTGTGTACAGAGCTCTCTGTGCGTTTACCAAGCAGGCGTGTGTGTGTGTGTGTGTGTGTGTGTGTGTGTGTACAGAGCTCTCTGTGCGTTTACCAAGCAGGCGTGTGTGTGTGTGTGTGTACAGAGCTCTCTGTGTGTGTACCGGGCAAGTGTGTGTGTGTGTGTACAGAGCTCTCTGTGTGTGTACCAAGCAGGCGTGTGTGTGTGTGTGTGTACAGAGCTCTCTGTGCGTTTACCAAGCAGGCGTGTGTGTGTGTACAGAGCTCTCTGTGTGTGTACCAGGCAAGTGTGTGTGTGTGTGTGTACAGAGCTCTCTGTGTGTGTACCAAGCAAGAGTGTGCGGACAGAGCTCTCTGTGTGTGTACCAAGCAGGCGTGTGTGTGTGTGTGTGTGTGTACACAGAGCTCTCTGTGTGTGTGTGTGTGTGTGTGTGGACACAGAGCTCTCTCTCTCTCTCTCTGTACCAAGCAGGCGTGTGTGTGTGTGTGTGTGTGTGTGTGTACAGAGCTCTCTCTCTCTCTGTGTGTGTATGTGTGTGTGGACAGAGCTCTGTGTGTGTGTGTGTGTGTGTGTGTGTGTGTGTGGACAGAGCTCTCTCTCTCTCTTCTGTGTGTGTGTGTGTGGACAGAGTTCTCTGTGTGTGTGTGTGTTTGTGCGGACAGAGCTCTCGGTGTGTGTACCAAGCAGGCATGTGTGTGTGTGTACACAGAGCTCTGTGTGTGTGTGTGTGTGTGTGGACACAGAGCTCTCTCTGTGTGTGTGTGTGTGTGTGGACACAGAGCTCTCTCTCTCTCTGTGTACCAAGCAGGCGTGTGTGTGTGTGTACACAGAGCTCTGTGTGTGTGTGTGTGTGGACACAGAGCTCTCTGTGTGTGTGTGTGTGTGTGTGTGTGGACACAGAGCTCTCTCTCTCTCTCTCTCTGTGTACCAAGCAGGCGTGTGTGTGTGTGTGTGTGTGTGTACAGAGCTCTCTCTGTGTGTGTGTGTGTGTGGACAGAGTTCTCTGTGTGTGTGTGTGTGTAGACAGAGCTCTCTGTGTGTGTGTGTGTGTGTGTGGACAGAGCTCTCTCTCTCTCTGTGTGTGTGACCAAGCAGGCGTGTGTGTGTGTGTGTGTGTGTGTGTGGACAGAGCTCACAGCTCTCTCTGTGTGTGTGTGTGTGTGGCACAGAGCTCTCTGTGTAGACATGTGTGTGTGTGGACAGAGCTCTCTCTCTCTCTGTGTGTGTGTGTGTGGACAGAGCTCTCTGTGTGTGTGTGTGTGTGTGTGTGTGGATAGAGCTCTGTGTGTGTGTGTGTGTGTGGACAGAGCTCTCTCTCTCTCTCTGTGTGTGTGTGGACAGAGCTCTCTGTGTGTGTGTGTGTGTGTGTGGACAGAGCTCTCTCTGTGTGTGTGTGTGTGTGTGGACAGAGCTCTGTGTGTGTGTGTACAGAGCTGTGTGTGTGTGTGTGTGTGTGTGGACAGAGCTCTCTCTCTCTCTCTCTCTCTCTGTGTGGACAGAGCGGGGTGTGTGTGTGTGTGTGGACAGAGCTCTCGTGTGTGTGTGTGTGTGTGTGTGTACAGAGCTGTGTGTGTGTGTGTGTGTGTGTGTGTACAGAGCGGTGTGTGGGTGTGTGTGTGTGTGGACAGAGCTCTCGGTGTGTGTGTGTGTGTGTGTGGACAGAGCGGTGTGTGTGTGTGTGTGTGTGTGTGTGTGGACAGAGCTGTGTGTGTGTGTGTGTGTGGACAGAGCGGTGTGTGTGTGTGTGTGTGTGTGTGTGGACAGAGATCTCGGTGTGTGGGTGTGTGGACAGAGCTCTCTCTCTCTCTCGGTGTGTGTGTGTGTGACAGAGCTCTCTCTCTCTCTCTCTCTGTGTGTGGACAGAGCGGTGTGTGTGTGTGTGTGTGGACAGAGCTCTCGGTGTGTGTGTGTGGACAGAGCTCTGTGTGTGTGTGTGTGTGTGTGTGTGTGGTGTGTGTGTGTACAGAGCGGTGTGTGTGTGTGTGTGTGTGTGGACAGAGCGGTGTGTGTGTGTGTGTGGGTGTGTGGACAGAGCTCTCTCTCTCTCTCTCTCTCTGTGTGGACAGAGCTCTCTCTCTCTCTCTCTCTCTGTGTGTGGACAGAGCGGGGTGTGTGTGTGTGTGTGGACAGAGCTCTCGGTGTGTGTGTGTGTGTGTGTGTACAGAGCGGTGTGTGTGTGTGTGTGTGTGTGTGTGTGGACAGAGCGGTGTGTGTGTGTGTGTGTGTGTGTGTACAGAGCGGTGTGTGTGTGTGTGGACAGAGCGGTGTGTGTGTGTGTGTGTGTGTGTGTGGACAGAGCTCTCGGTGTGTGGGTGTGTGGACAGAGCTCTCTCTCTCTCTCGGTGTGTGTGTGTGTGGACAGAGCTCTCTCTCTCTCTCTCTCTCTGTGTGTGGACAGAGCGGTGTGTGTGTGTGTGTGTGGACAGAGCTCTCGGTGTGTGTGTGTGGACAGAGCTCTGTGTGTGTGTGTGTGTGTGTGTGTGTGTGTGTGTGACAGAGCGTGTGTGTGTGTGTGTGTGTGTGTGGACAGAGCGGTGTGTGTGTGTGTGTGGGTGTGTGGACAGAGCTCTCTCTCTCTCTCTCTCTCTCTCTCTCTGTGTGGACAGAGCTCTCTCTCTCTCTCTCTCTCTGTGTGTGGACAGAGCGGGGTGTGTGTGTGTGTGTGGACAGAGCTCTCGGTGTGTGTGTGTGGACAGAGCTCTCGGTGTGTGTGTGTGGACAGAGCTCTCTCTCTCTCTCTCTCTCTCTCTCTGTGTGGACAGAGCGGTGTGTGTGTGTGTGTGTGTGTGTGTGTGTGTGTGGACAGAGCTCTCTCTCTGTGTGTGTGTGTGGACAGAGCTCTGTGTGTGTGTGTGTGTGTGTGGACAGAGCTGTGTGTGTGTGTGTGTGGACAGAGCTCTCTCTCTCTCTCTCTCTCTCTCTCTCTGTGTGGACAGAGCGGTGTGTGTGTGTGTGTGGGTGTGTGGACAGAGCTCTCTCTCTCTCTCTCTCTCTGTGTGGACAGAGCGGTGTGTGTGTGTGTGGGTGTGTGGACAGAGCTCTCTCTCTCTCTCTCTCTCTGTGTGGACAGAGCGGTGTGTGTGTGTGTGTGTGTGTGTGGACAGAGCTCTGTGTGTGTGTGTGTGTGTGGACAGAGCTCTCGGTGTGTGTGTGTGGACAGAGCTCTCTCTCTCTCTCTCTCTCTCTCTCTCTGTGTGTGGACAGAGCGGTGTGTGTGTGTGTGTGTGTGTGTGTGTGTGGACAGAGCTCTCTCTCTGTGTGTGTGTGTGGACAGAGCTCTGTGTGTGTGTGTGTGTGTGGACAGAGCTCTGTGTGTGTGTGTGTGTGTGTGTGTGTGTGTGTGGGACAGAGCTCTGTGTGTGTGTCCGCGCTCACGCACATGGGCCGTGTGTAACGTAGGCTGCATCTGGAGGAGGCGGGGGGGGGGCAGGATCTGAGCTCACAGCTGCCCATTAAGTCACACCCGGGGGCGGGAGTAGAGGCCGGGGCGGGGGGGGGCCTCGTCACATGAGCAGCCTGGGGCCCGGCAGCCGGTTCCGGGGAGCCCTGCATGGAGCTGGGGGAGACCCGGCCCCCCCCAGCATCCCCCGCTAAAGGTGTGTGCATCTCTGGGTGGGGAGCCAGGACGCCTGGGTTCCTTCCCCGGCTCCGGGGTGGGGGGCTGGTGGGTTAGAGCGGGGGGGCTGGGAGCCCGGACTCCTGGGTTCTCTCCCAGGCGCTGGGAGGGGAGTGGGGGCTGGTGGGTTAGAGCAGGGGGGGCTGGGAGCCAGGACTCCTGGGTTCCTTCCCTGGCGCCGGGAGGGGGGTGGGGGCTGGTGGGTTAGAGCAGGGGGGGCTGGGAGCCCGGACTCCTGGGTTCTCTCCCAGGCGCCAGGAGGGGGTGGGGGCTGGTGGGTTAGAGCAGGGGGGGCTGGGAGCCAGGACTCCTGGGTTCCTTCCCTGGCGCCGGGAGGGGGTGGGGTGGGGGCTGGTGGGTTAGAGCAGGGGGGGCTGGGAGCCAGGACTCCTGGGTTCCTTCCCTGGCGCCGGGAGGGCAGTGGGGGCTGGTGGGTTAGAGCAGGGTGGGCTGGGAGTCAGGACTCCTGGGTTCCTTCCCCGGCTCTGGGAGGGGGTAGGGTCTAATGAATTGGGGGTGGGGCGGGGAGGGGGCAGGAAATCTATTTAAGCTCCTCCACTCACCTGATTCCCACCTGGTGGCTAAGTCCCGCCCCCATCCTCCCCCCCACACACCTGTCTATAACTAACCTTCCCCCCTCTATAAAGTCCTCTGGCCTCACCTTTCCCCCTTTTCCCGCGCCCTAGGGGGGAGCCTGACCCACTGCTGTAGCCTGTATCTGGTGAGCTTCGTCCTCCAGAACTTGGGGACCCCCTTGGTGGAGAGTAGGGGGCTGATCCCCCTGTTTACTCTACTCTGTGACCGCAGGATTTCTGAGACCCAGTATCTGTCAGCTCTGGCTTTGACCTACCAGTGATTCTCCTGGGGGTCCTTTTGGGGGTCCAGCTGTGCCCCCCAAAATATTACCCAGCTCCTCTTTGCACCCCTTAAGCAACCCCCTGGCCTCGAATCTGTGGCATCTTGTGTTCCCCTCAATTTGACTTTTAAACTCTCTTCACCCCCCTGTTTTTCCAGAAGAGGGACCGAGAACAGGGGTGTCCCCCGTACCTCCATCTCTGCGATGGGAGGGTAGGCTGGATTTCGAGGGCCTAGACCCACGGATCCTTTTCCCCCTCCTGTTAATTCAAAGAAGCTGGGTGGGGTTTTTAGGGTTCACCCCCCCATTTTCTTTTGGAGGTGTCTGCAGGCAGCTTCAAAGCCGGCCCCGCGCATGGCAGAGGCAGGAAGTGGGGGGGGGCTTGACCCCTGTTTTTCTAGCTCTTTTTGGGGGGCGGGGTGTCTCTGATGTGGATTTGAAATCAGGCGGTCTTCTATTGACTTGGTTCATGGTTGTGGGGTGTGTGTGGGGGGAGCTGGGGGGTGTTGCAGGTGAGGCTGGGGGAGGCAGGGAATTTGCAGGGAGGGTCTGGGGAGCTGATGGGTAGGGGCGGAGGGATTTCAGGGGTGCCTGGGGGGAAGGGAGTTGTGGGGGCTGGGGAGAAAGTGGGGGAGGAGCTGGGAACTTGGAGCAGAGAGCAGGTGAGTGGGGTTGGGGGGGATCTGGGGAGGGAATTTGGGGTGGGAGAGGGTAGGGGGCTAGGGGAGGGAATTTGGAGGTGCTGGGGGAGGGAATTTGGGGTGGGGGCTCTGTGGGGGGAGGGACAGGTGATAACGGGGGGGTCCCTGGCTGAACCCCTCCTTTCCCCCTCCTCCCCCCCCAGGGTGACCGGGCCCCCCTGCCATGTCCACCGAGAGCTCCCCCCTCCTGAGCTACCGGCTCTTCAGTGTGGTGGACGAGGGGGAGATGCCAGGGAGCCGGGCCCAGGAGGAGGCCCCCCTCGTGGGGGGGGGCGCCATGGGCACCCCGCACCCTGACCCGGCCGGCCGGCTCTCCACCTTCTTCGGCGTCGTGGTGCCCACCGTCCTGTCCATGTTCAGCATCGTTGTCTTCATGCGTGTGGGTGAGTGACCCCCCGTTCAGGATTCCCCCCCCCATACCTCTAGGGAAATCGCTGCCCTAGGAATACCAGCAAAGCTCCATCCCCCATGGTTGCGGGATTGATTTCCAGCCAAAATCCTGTGGCAGGGAGTTCCACTGGCTATTTCCAGCCAAAATCATGCAGCAAGGAGTTCCACCAGCTAACGGGGGGGTGGGGTTGGCCCATACTTACCCCTGCTCCTCCTCCGACCCAGCTGTTTGGCCAGCTCCTTGCCGCAACTGGCGGCTGCTTTGTCCAGGTCTGGTGGTGCAATTGCAGGGAAAGTTCGGTTCCAGCAAAATCATGGGGCGGGGAGTTCCCCTGGATGGCCGGCGGCTGCGTATTTACCCCCTTTCGGGCGCCGAAAGCCGACTTCCCCCGTTGTAATGAGCGGCAGATGAGCGAAAGGCGGCCCGACGTCCATCGGAGGAGGTTAACGCGTGGCCGGGAGGTGCGCCCCGAGGCCGTGGGGATGGGCCCAGTCCGGGAACCTACCTGGAGAATAGACCCCTGGGCTCCCCGCACCCCAGCTCCGCCGGGGCCCCTCACACCTGACCCGCAGCCCCTCTCTGTCGCCCCCTAGGGTTCGTGGTGGGGCACGCCGGGTTCCTGCAGTCGCTGCTCATGCTGGTGGTGGCCTACGTCATCATCCTGCTGACCGTCCTGTCCGTCTGTGCCATCTGCACGAATGGAGCCATCCAGGGGGGTGGGGCCTACTGTATCCTTCAGCCAATGGGGATGGTGGGGTGCGGGGGGGGGTGTCAGGAGATCTGTTTGTGTAGGGGGTCTTTAGGGGAGATATGGGGGGCTGTCTTGGGGGGCAGGGGCTATGGGGGGCAGTAGGAGGGGAGCTGGGGTGCAGGTGGGGGTGTAGGTGGGGGGTGTCGGGAGATCTGTTTATGGAGGGGGTCTGGGGGAGACACTGGGGGAGGGGCGAGGGAATATGGGGGGCTGTCTGTGGGGAGCAGTGGGGGGGGGCTGGGGTGCGGGTGAAGGGTGTCAGGAGATCTGTTTGTGTAGGGGTTTTTTGGGGGTGACACTGGGATTAGGGGGCTGAGGGAATATGGGGGGCTGTCTTGGGCAGAAGGTGTGGGGGTCAGTTGGAGGGGAGCTGGGGTGCAGGTGGGGGGGAGTCAGGAGATCTGTTTATGGAGGGGGTCTATGGGGGGCTGTCTTGGGGGGCAGGGGCTGTGGGGAGCAGTGGGTGGGAGGGTGTCGGGAGACCTGTTTATGGAGGGGGTCTTTGGGGGAGACGCTGGGGGGCCTGGGGGAGGGATAAGGGAATATGGGGTGCTGTCTCTAGGGGGGCAGCGGCTGTAGGGAGCAGTGGGTGCGGGGGTGTCAGGAGATCTCTTTATGGAGGGGGTCTTTGGGGGAGACACTGGGGGGTCTGGGGGAGGGATAAGGGAATATGGGGAGCTGTCTCTGTGGGGGGCAGGAGCTGTGGGAAGCAGTGGGTGAGGGGGTCTTGGGAGATATGTTTATGGAGGGGGTCTGTGGGGGAGACACTGGGGGGTCTGGGAGAGGGGCGAGGGAATATGGGGGGCTGTTTCTGGGGAGCAGTAGGAGGGGGGCTGGGGTGCAGGTGAAAGGTGTCAGGGGATCTGTTTGTGTAGGGGTTTTTTTGAGGGTGACACTGGGATTAGGGGGCTGAGGGAATATGGGGGCATCTTGGGGGGCAGGAGGTGTGGGGGGCAGTTGGAGGGGAGCTGGGGTGCAGGTAGGGGTGTTGGGAGATCTGTTTATGGAGGGGGTCTGTGGGGGAGACATGGGGATATGGGGGGCTGTCTTGGGGGGCAGGGGCTGTAGGGAGCAGCGGGTGGGGGGCTGTCAGGAGATCTCTTTATGGAGAGGGTCTTTGGGGGAGACTGGGGGATTGGATCGGATATAGGGGTGCGTGGGGGGCTGTCTGGGGTGGCTGGGGGGCAGTGTAGGCGTCTCCGTGGGCTGTGGCAGGGGGAATGGGCTCCGTGTGCGTGGGGGTGTCTCTCTATGGTGCTTCCTTAATGGCCCCCCCCCACCCCCAGTCATGATCTCGCGGACGCTGGGCCCCGAGTTTGGGGGCAGCATCGGGCTTATGTTCTACCTGGCCAACGTCTGCGCCTGTGGGGTCTATATCCTGGGGCTGGTGGAGGCCGTGCTGGACGTCTTCGGGGCAGGTAGGCCCGGACGCCTGGGTTCTCTCCCTGGAACTGGGAGGGGAGTGGGAGCTGGTGGGTGAGATCAGGGGGGCTGGGAGCCCGGACGCCTGGGTTCTCTCCCCAGCTCTGGGTGGGCAGTGGGGGCTGATGGGTTAGAGCAGGCGGGGCTGGGAGCCCGGACGCCTGGGTTCTCTCCCTGGTTCTGGGACAGGAGCCGGGGGGGCTGGGAGCCAGGACTCCTGGGTTCTCTCCCCAGCGCTGGGAGCGGAGCGGAGTGGGGCCTCGGGGTGGGGCTGGGAGCAAGGACGCCTGGGTTCTCTCCCTGGCTCTGGGAGGGGCATGGGGGCTGGTGGGTGAGAGTGGGGGGGCTGGGATCCAGGACTCTTGGGTTCTCTCCCGGTTCTGGGACGGGAGCAGAGGGGGCTGGGAGCCAGGACTCCTGGGTTCTGTCCCCGGCTCTGGGAGGGGAGCGGGGACTGGTGGGTTAGAGCAGGGGGGCTGGGAGCCCGGACTCCTGGGTTCTCTCCCCAGCCCTGGGAGCGGAGCGGAGTGGGGCCTCGGGGCGGGGCTGGGAGCCCGGACGCCTGGGTTCTCGCCAGTCCTGAGAGTGCCCCCCCTTGCAGACGGGACGGACCCCCCCGGCGCCCGCGTCCTGCCACAGGGCTACTTCTACAGCTTCCTCTACGGCTCGGTGGTCCTCCTGCTCTGCCTGCTGGTCTGCCTGGTGGGGGCCCGGATCTACGCCCGGGCCGCCTTCCTCATCTTCCTGGTGGTCAACCTGGTGCTGCTGGACATTTTCGTCAGCTTCGTGGCCGTGGGGCCCCGCCAGGTGCCCGTGGCCCGCGACGCCAACCACACCGTCAACGCCAGCTTCACCGGCTTCCGCCTGGCCACCCTGCGGGCCAACCTGCCCGGTGAGCGGGGGGGGCTGGGAGCCAGGACTCCTGGGTTCTCTCCCCGGCTCTGGGAGGGGAGTGGGGGCTGGTGGGTCAGAGCAGGGGGGCTGGGAGCCAGGACTCCTGAGTTCTCTCCCCGGCTCTGGGAGGGGAGTGGACTGGGGGCTGGTGGGTTGAGGACTGGGGGTCACAGACATGAGGGGACTGGAGATGTGGGGGGGCAAAGCAGGGGAAGGGGGTGTCGAGTGGGCGTTTTGGGGAGGGGGATCTTGAGGGGTGGTTGGAGGGCTGGGGATGTGCCGGGGGGTGGGGTGGGGATGTGGGCGGAGTTAGAGGGAGAAAGGGAGGGGTGGGGGGCAAAGCAGGGGTTGGAGGGGTGTTGAGTGGGGGGAGCTCTTGAGGGGTGGTTGGAGGGGCGGGGATGTGGGCGGGGTAAGAGGGAGAAAGGGAGGGGTGGGGGGCAGTGGGGGTGTTCAGGGGGGTGGGGTGATGGACAGCAGGGGGTGTGGAGCAAACACTGGGGGGGTGTAGGGGGTTGCGGGGAGATGATGGGATCGGTGGGGGCACGGCCTGGGGGGGGCAAGGCCCAGGAGGGGGGCGTATGGAGGGGGCCCCAGCAGGCAGAGGGGACGGGTCCGTGGGGAAGGGGGAACGACCCCCCCCAGTCACTTGTCGTGTGTCTCCCCCGCCCCCCCAGCCATGTACTCCCGCGACTACACCACCAACAACGTCATGACGTTCGCCACCGTCTTCGCCGTCATGTTCAACGGCTGCACCGGGATCATGGCCGGGTCCAACATGTCGGGTGAGCCCGGACGCCTGGGTCCCATCCCCGGCGCTGGGAGGGCAGTGGGGGCGGGTGGGTTAGAGCAGCGGGGGCTGGGAGCCAGGACTCCTGGGTTCTCTCCCGGCTCTGGGAGGGGAAGGGGGGCTGGTGGGTTAGAGCCGGGGGGGCTGGGGGCCAGGACTCCTGGGTTCTCTCCCCGGCTCTGGGTGGGCAGTGGGGGCTGGTGGGTTAGAGCAAGGGGGGCTGGGAGCCAGGACTCCTGGGTTCTCTCCCGGCTCTGGGTGGGCAGTGGGGGCTGGTGGGTTAGAGTGGGAGGGGGGGCTGGGAGCCAGGACTCCTGGGTCCCATCCCGGCTCTGGGCTGCCGTTGCAGGGGAGTTGAGGAACGCCAGCAGCTCCATCCCCAAGGGCACCATCATCGCTGTGGTTTACACCTTCGTCATCTACTTCCTCCTCTTCCTCATGACCAGCTTCACCTGTGAGAGGTGAGTGGGGGCAGGGATGGATTCGGGGCGGGGGGGAGGGGTTGGAGGACACCCTGCTGTTGGCACCAAGGGGCGGGGCTAAAAGCATAAGGGTGGGGCTAAAGGAGGAACTGGCCAATGGGGCGGAGCTAAGGGAGCAGGGGGTGGGGCTAGGAGAGCAAGCTGGTGGGGATGGGCGGAGCTTCATGGCTGAGGTCAGGGCAGGGGTGGGAGGGAAGATGAAGGTGGAGGCGGGGCTATCGGGGATGGAGTGGCGGGGGGGGGGAATTGCCAGGGGGCGTGGCTAATGAAATAGGGCCGGGCTAAGAGGCGGGCTCGGGGGCCGGGCTTAGGGCACAGTTCATGTGCAGAGGGTGGGGCGAAGGGGCTGGGGCTATGGATGGGTGGGGTTAGGGGTGAGGTGGGGTTCAAGCAGACAGCTAGTTGAAGTGGGTGTGGCTTATGGGAGGGGGCGTGGTTTATAAGAAGGGGCGTGGCTCAGGGCCAGTGTAACAGGTGCGGTTCAGGCACAGAGCTCCTTGAAATGGGCGTGGCTTGCAGAGGGGGCGTGGCTTTCCAGGCCAGACTAAGAGGAGGGGAAATGGGCAAGGGGCAGGGACAAGGCCTGCCGAGGGGAGCTGGGTGGCAGTGGGTGGGCGGGGCTCAAGGCCTGGCTCCGCCCCCTTTCCAGGACACTGCTGAAGGAAGACTACGGCTTCTTCCGGTCCATCAACCTGTGGCCGCCCCTGGTGCTGGTCGGGGTTTACGCCGCGTCCCTCTCGGCCTCCATGAGCTCCCTCATCGGGGCCTCCCGCATCCTGCACGCGCTGGCCAAGGACGACCTGTTCGGTGAGCCCCCCCCCCCCCCCGGCCTGTCCCGAGGAGGCCCCCCAGCCTCCCGACTGGGGTCCCTCCGTCACTCTCACGCGCTTTCCTTCCCCCCCCAGGCATCATCCTGGCTCCGGCCAAAATCGTCTCCAAGGGGGGGAACCCCTGGGTGGCCGTTCTGTACACCTGGGCCCTGGTGCAGGTAAGTGCCCCCCCCCACCTCCTGCTCTAACCTGATGCCCTCCCAGAGCCGGGGGAGAACCCAGGCGTCCTGGCTCCCAGCCCCCCCTCCCCTCCCAGAGCCGGGGAGAGAACCCAGGAGTCCTGGCTCCCAGCCCCCCTGCTCTAACCCACCAGCCCCCACTGCCCTCCCAGAGCCGGGGAGAGAACCCAGGAGTCCTGGCTCCCAGCCCCCCTGCTCTAACCCACCAGCCCCCACTGCCCTCCCAGAGCCGGGGAGAGAACCCAGGCGTCCTGGCTCCCAGCCCGCCCTGCTCTAACCCACCAGCCCCCCCTCCCCTCCCAGAGCCAGGGAGAGAACCCAGGCGTCCTGGCTCCCAGCCCCCCCTCCCCTCCCAGAGCCGGGGAGAGAACCCAGGAGTCCTGGCTCCCAGCCCCCCTGCTCTAACCCACCAGCCCCCACTGCCCTCCCAGAGCCGGGGAGAGAACCCAGGAGTCCTGGCTCCCAGCCCGCCCTGCTCTAACCCACCAGCCCCCCCTCCCCTCCCAGAGCCAGGGAGAGAACCCAGGCGTCCTGGCTCCCAGCCCCCTCCCCTCCCAGAGCCGGGGAGAGAACC